CCCCCCCATTTAACCAAAACTTTTAACCCTTTCACCCCCGATTTTTAACCATTTTTTTGCCGATTTCTCTACCGATTTCACCCAAAATTCGAGGAATTTTCCCTGAACGTGGGGAGACCCCAAAATTTAATATTTTTTGTCTAAAATTTGCTTTTTTTCCCCCAAATTCCAGCCTTCTGTACGTCTGACCCCCACCACCATGCTCTACTCCGGGCGCTCTCAGGACGGCAGCCACATCCTGGTGAGAAAATTCCCCCAAAATTTTTTGGGAATTCCCAAAAAATTTTGGGAATTCCCAAAAAATTTTGAGGAATTTTTGAAGGTTCTGAAAATTCGGGTGGGTTCAGAGTTTGGGGAGAGCCTGAAGGGGTCACGAATGTAAAAATTGGGGGAAAAGTTGAAAAAAAATTTGGGGTGAAATTTTCAAGATTTGGGGTAAAATTAAAAAAAAAAATTTGGGGTGGAACGTTAAAAAAATTTGGGGTGAAACTTTGAAAATTTGGGGTGAAAGTTCAAGAATTTTGGGGTAAAAAGTTGAAAAATTTGGGGTAAAACCTTAAAAAAATTTGGGGTAACAGCTCAAAAAAATTGGGGTGAAAATTTAAAAATTTGGGGTAAAATCTTGAAAATTTGGGGTAAAAAGCCTCAAAAAATTTGGGGTGAAATCTCAATAATTTGGGGTAAATTTTTCAAAAATTTGGGGTAAAAGCACGAAAAGATTTGGGGTAAAACTTTAAAAATTTGGGGTAAAATCTCAAGAATTTTGGGGTAAAAAGTTGAAAAATTTGAGGTAAAACCTTAAAAAAATTTGGGGTAAAAGCTCAAAAAAAATTGGGGTAAAAATTTAAAAATTTGGGGTAAAATCTTTAAAATTTGGGGTAAAAAGCCTCAAAAAATTTGGGGTGAAATCTCAATAATTTGGGGCAAAATTTTCAAAAATTTGGGGTAAAAGCTCAAAAAAATTTGGGGTGAAACTTCAAAAATTTGGGGTGAAATTTCAAGAATTTTGGGGTAAAAAGTTGAAAAATTTGGGGTAAAACCTTAAAAATTTGGGGTAAAATCTTAAAAAAATTTGGGGTAAAAGCTCAAAAAAATTGGGGTGAAAATTTAAAAATTTGGGGTAAAATCTTTAAAATTTGGGGTAAAACCTCAAAAATTTGGGGTAAAAAAATCTCAAAAAATTTGGGGTGAAATCTCAATAATTTGGGGCAAAATTTTCAAAAATTTGGGGTAAAAGCACGAAAAAATTTGGGGTGAAACTTCAAAAATTTGGGGTGAAATTTCAAGAATTTGGGGTAAAAAAACCTCAAAAAATTTGGGGTGAAATCTCAATAATTTGGGGTGAAATTTCAAAAATTTTGGGGTAAAAAGTTGAAAAATTTGGGGTAAAAGCTCAAAAAAATTGGGGTGAAAATTTAAAAATTTGGGGTAAAATCTTTAAAATTTGGGGTAAAAAGCCTCAAAAAATTTGGGGTAAAATCTCAATAATTTGGGGCAAAATTTTCAAAAATTTGAGGTAAAACCTCAAAAAAATTTGGGGTGAAACTTGAAAAATTTGGGGTGAAATTTCAAGAATTTTGGGGTAAAAAGTTGAAAAATTTGGGGTAAAACCTTAAAAAAATTTGGGGTAAAAGCTCAAAAAAAATTGGGGTAAAATCTTTAAAATTTGGGGTAAAATTTCAAGAATTTGGAGTAAAAAGCCTCAAAAAATTTGGGGTAAAATCTCAATAATTTGGGGCAAAATTTTCAAAAATTTGGGGTAAAATCTCAAGAATTTGGGGTAAAAACCTCAAAAAATTGGGGGTGAAATTTCAAAAATTTCGGGGTAAAAAGTTAAAAAATTTGAGGTAAAACCTTAAAAAAATTTGGGGTAAAATCTTTAAAATCTGGGGTAAAACCTCAAAAAAATTTGGGGTGAAACTTCAAAAATTTGGGGTAAAATCTCAAGAATTTGGGGTAAAAAGCCTCAAAAAATTTGGGGTAAAATCTTTAAAATTTGGGGTAAAAAAATCTCAAAAAATTTGGGGTGAAATCTCAATAATTTGGGGCAAAATTTTCAAAAATTTGGGGTAAAAGCTCAAAAAAATTTGGGGTGAAACTTTAAAAATTTGGGGTGAAATTTCAAAAATTTTGGGGTAAAAAGTTGAAAAATTTGAGGTAAAACCTTAAAAAAATTTGGGGTAACAGCTCAAAAAAATTGGGGTGAAAATTTAAAAATTTGGGGTAAAATTTCAAAAAATTTGGGGTGAAACTTTGAAAATTTGGGGTGAAAGTTCAAGAATTTTGGGGTAAAAAGTTGAAAAATTTGGGGTAAAATCTTTAAAATTGGGGGTAAAAGCTCAAAAAAATTTGGGGTAAAATTAAAAAAAAAATTGGGGTGAAACTTTGAAAATTTGGGGTAAAATCTCAAGAATTTGGGGTAAAAAAACCTCAAAAAATTTGGGGTGAAATCTCAATAATTTGGGGTAAAATTTTCAAAAATTTGGGGTAAAATCTCAAGAATTTGGGGTAAAAACCTCAAAAAATTTGGGGTAAAATCTCAAGAATTTTGGGGTAAAAACTTGAAAAATTTGGGGTAAAACCTTAAAAAAAATTGGGGTAAAACCTCAAAAATTTGGGGTAAAACCCCCAAAATTCGATACAAAAATCTAAAAAAATTCGGGCAAAAACCTCAAAAATTTGGGTTTAAAACCTCAAAAACTTGATACAAAATTTTTAAAAAAAATTTGGGCCAAAACCTCAAAAAAAATTCAATTCAAAAAATTCGATTTTGGACGATCTGGGCAAATTTTTAATTTTATTTTTTAATTATTTTATCGTAGATTGGCCAAAAAAACTCGAAATTAAACGGGGAAAAAAACCTAAAACTTCCAAAAATTATAAAAAACTTGTAAAAATGATAAAAAATTTTTAGAAATTGACCAAAATTTTGATTTTTTTTGCTCAGAAAAGTGCCCGGTACCTTCAGCAGGAGCTGCCCGTGCGCATCGCTCACCGCATCAAAGGATTCCGGAACCTTCCCTTCATCATTGGCTGCAACCCCACCATCCTGCACGTGGTGAGAGAAAAAAAATCTAAAATTCCTAAAATTCCCAAAAATCCCAAAAATCCCAATCCTGAAATTCCCAAAAATTCCGGAGAAAAACGGCGAAATTCCCGTGAAAATCGGAAATTTTGGGCTGATTTTAC